CCTAAGAAATCTCTCAACTGGGAGCAGCCAGACAACTTCTTTGAGAGGCTGGAACTAGATTATCTTTAAGGTCCCTTCCAACACAAGTCACTCTGTGATTTTAAGATTCTATCCTTTTTAACTGCCTTTTTAAGTGTGATGTTGGTCTGTATTAGACAGCAGTGACTGAGGTTCACATAGCTACTAAGAAAAAAATCATATATCAGAAATTCAGAAAAGCTAGATCTGAGAAGATACTTGTTAAAATATCAATCAAAGAGGCTGGTGATCTATGTGCAAAAGCTTCCCTGAGAACCATGTCAGGCATAAAATAAAATGTGCAAGGTAGAGCTGTATCATCACCTGTCAGCATCCTGGTACCATATCTTACATGGCATCCTGAGCTGATGATAACATTACCAAATTCTTTATTCCTAGCATGGTGGTGAGTACCTAGAGGGCACAAACCCCCATGTTTTATTCACAATTTTTATTTCACAAAATATTGCATGTTTTATTCACCATTTTGGGTGCTATGAATGTTTTCAATATCTCTCTTCTTGGAGAGGACCAGCAAAAGCTGCTGAAAGACCTTTGAAACTTCACTGTTTCCCTAGGAGCTCCAAGAAATGACGCCCTTCCTTGAGCTTAAACCACAAATTGTTGATACAATTCGAGGGATCATTTCTAAAAAGACTGAATGGGGGCCCTGCTTCAGAAGAGTAAAAAGCATGCAAGTATTCCTGTAGTTTAACATGTCTGTGGATTCCAGGCTCCTTCGTGTGTCAGGAGGATACCAGCTTCTGTCTGGGCCCTGGTCACCCTGCAGCCCGGCATGCAGGGGTCACCTTCTCTCGGGAGACTGCGGATCACACGCATTTAAAGAAGAGATCCTGGTTTACAAGCAGCTTTCCGACCCTGGAGAGTACATTTCAATTGAAACGAGCTCACGGATCACTAGATGGCCTCGTAACCCCAGAGATTTGGGCAGACCCAGGCTCGGGCTCAGGAATCGCCAGGTTTAAACCCCTGGCACCTCAAGGGATGCAGAATCATCACCTCGGGCAATGCACAAGAGCCTTTTAAAAAGGCAGCGCGAGAAATTTGGTACACTTTGTCCCACCGGGAAGGTAGAGAACCCCACATTCGTCACTCCTGTTAGAAGCTGCTCGTATTCCCTGAATGCCAGCAGACGGGACTGGAGATGGAGCAGAGAATAGATGGGAGCTGTTGGGGAGTCGCAAAGATTTCAGAGGGAGGTGAATCCATTCGGGGGAATTTCTCTGTGAAGCTCAGAAACTGGGAAATCGGAGGGCATGCGGGTGGCTTTGGTTCCTTGTCCCACACCAATGAGTCCCAGTCACTGCCACGTGAAAATGTGGCCGCTTCGAGGCCTCGGAGGAAACCCCAATGTTTTGATGGTGTGCTTACCTGCCAGAGAGCTGTGCCCTCCCGGGGGACAGCAGCAACACGGTGAAGCGAGGGGAGCCCCCTCCCTCCTGCCCACACCGGAGAGGGTCTGGGCAGAGAGAAGCGAAGGGATCATTCGAGCAGCAGAAATAGGAACGGGAACACGCCGAGGAGAAGGCAGAGTTTAACAAAGTAATTATGTAACAATAAGCTTTTACCTAGCAGCTTGTCCTAACAAGAAAAATTTAAGCTTTAAGCTACCTCGTAGTTTAAACTATCCTTTGTATAAACTATAAATTAGTTTTAAGAAAAATTTGTAATCACTTAAAAAAGGGAAGTAGGACAAACATGAGCTAAAAAGCTCTACAAAAGCGTTTTGAAACATCTTAGAGTTTAGTAGTAACTGAGGAAAAAGCCTATGAAGGTATTTTTAGACAGGTTAGCTTTAGGTTGTGAAATGACTGAAAGAAAGCTTTTGCAAACTATATGCTGACTAACAAAATATATGCTTGCTTAAACAAACTGCTAATGGAAAAAGATGTTTTAAGAGAAAGATGGGACACCAGGGAGACATCAGAAGACCCTCTTGGACCACCTCCCCAGCAGATGTCCAAAAACCACAGCTGCTGATTATGAAGAAAAAGCAAGTAAAAAACATCTGAAGATTTGAAGAAGTGCCTAGAATAATAAGACTAACCTCTGAGACCTGAATTTGTGTGTTGCTTAAGGTAGAGATCCTCAACGCACCCAGCGTGCTGTAAAACTTGCTCACCTTTTATCGAACAAATTAATAAATTGGCTATATTGCTTGACATATTGGCAAGTCTAGAATTTTCATTTATAAGACCTTGATCTGATGTGCACAGGGGAAAACAACCCCTCATTTGCCCTGCTTTTCAACTGGGACGCGCATTACCGCTCCTTTTCCCGCGTGGATTTTCATCAGCGTTTTTAAACACAGCGCTAGTTCACATCGACGCGAGTCTTTCAGAAAAGCCTTTCAAACGCATTCGGAGCGGAGCAAGCCCAGGGCACGGAGCAGGGCTCAGCCTCGGAGCGGGGCAGGCGCTGCAGGCCGGGAGAGAGCTCCGGCCCGAGCTGCGGCGAGGCCTCGGCGGCGCTGAGGGCAGGGCCGGGCGCTCGGCGCTGCCGCTTTAAGGGCGGGCGGGAGCGCGGCCCGGCCCCGGCAGCGCGGCGGCGGCAGCAGCAGGTACGTGCGGGCCGGGAGCTCCGGCCGGGCTGGCAGCGGGCCCGGCTGTGCCCCTGCCCCGGCCGGGAGCTGCCCGTGCTCCCGAGGCCTGCGGCCGCTTTGCCGCGGGAGCCCAGCGCCGGGCGAGCGGAGATGGCGGCGGGGCAGCCCCGGCCGCTCGGCCCGGGGCGCGGGAGCGGGCTGGCATCCCTCGAAGGGGAAGGTGCGGCGGGGTGGTTGGGCTCCGGACTGCTCTTGTCACCTTAAAAAAAAAAACAAAAACCCAAAACAACACAAAACAAAACAAAAAAGTTTAATTGCATAGAAGTAGAAATTGGCGTTTCGGGGTTTGTTTTTTCTTTGGGGGGGGGGGGGGGGGGGGTTTTTTTGT